ATCCAGCCCCTGGCCATGGGACTACCTGCTTCCTCTAGAGAAATTGTATCCACCCCCTCCCCCGTGGAAGTGGACTGGGCTAGGTGACCTGCTTTGGCCTGTAGAAACCAAGCTGTTAGCTAAAGCTCAACAAGACAGTTTCTGCCACTCTCTGGCGTAAGAATAGCGTCACCCACACAGGGGCATGTTCTAGGTCCAGGAATGGACTCTCAGAAAAGAGCCACAAGCAAAGGGAATGTGGGCAAGAAATGGTATTGTAAGTTACTAACTAAAGTGTGGGGGTAATCTGTAACCCCAGAGAAAGCTGCCCAATAAACTCCCTGAATCGGATCTCTCCCTTCTCCAATCCATCCTACACATCACTGCCAGTCAAGTGTTCCCCCATTTTGTCAGGATTTCCCTGCTCACACACCTCAGTGGCTCCCTATTAGCTAGAGAACTACACTATAAGGTCTTTCACCTGAATTCGAAGACATTCACATTATAACCCTTAGGTCCTCTATTCCTTACACAATCTCTCACCCCTCAAACCACACACAGACCAACCTCACACCTTTGCCCCCAAACCAAAACACCTTCCTCTGTGGTGCTGCAGTGCCTCCCTAACTCTCCTCCCACTGTGCAAGGTTTGGCTGGAAGATCACCCCTTACTTGAAACTCTCCCTAAAGCTAGAGGTCCACCTGTAATCACTTCCCCTCTGAATTTCTAGAGCGGGGGTGTCAAACTCCTTTTCAACGGGGGCCACATCAGCCTCGTGTTTGCCCTCAAAGGGCCGAATACAATTTTAGGACTGTATAAATCTAACTACTCTGTAACAATTAAATGAGAGCTCGGCACTGCCACCAGGTACAAACAAGGTGCTGGACTGGATAAAATAAGGTGGAGGGCCGGATTCAGTCCACACGCTTCGTGTTTGGCACCTGTGTTCTAGAGCCATTTTCTGTAAATGGGCCACACAGTAGATAGTTTAGGCTTTGTGGGCCATAGTCTCTGAAGCAAGTAGTCAGTTTTGCCAAAGCAGCCACAGGCAAATATAAACGTGAAGGGGGTGGCTGTGTTTCAATAAAACTTTATTTATAAAGACAGGCGAGGGGTCCACCAGTGGGTGTAGTGTTGAGACTCTCTGGTCTGGAGCCCTGAGTGAAGGGCTTAACAGTCTTAATAGACTTCTTTTCAAGCTGCTTCAAACAACAGTGTGCCTCATGTTTGTGGGGCTACAATACACACACAACTAATTGAGCATATGTTAGATATTCAGTTAAAAAGTACTGAATTAACGGTACTTAGGAAACATTATAGAATATTGAAAACTATTCCTAATATTGAATAGCATGGTTTTCCCAAAGACTTCAAAGAAAGTAGAAAAAATCCACACCAATGTTGAACCAAGAAAAATCCCACCAGGTGGGCAATAATGGCCAATAAACTCTTTTCACAACATACAAACTGTGTCAAAGACCGTTATGAGTTGGAGGTTAGCAACAAGCTTGTGGATGGTGGGATGGAACTCCTATTATCAAAATTCTCAGACATAGGATGATAAAATTCATTTATGTCACCATCACATTTTGGGGGCCTGAACAAGATGGCAATCACTGCTGAGGAACTCAAGTTTCAGGGAAATACAAAGCCCTGCAAAATATCGGTCCCAGAAAGCCCAAGATAGGAACATGGCAGAACGGGAGTGATCCAGGCTATTGGCCCAGGTGAGGAGGTCCATCTCAGCAGGTGGAACAGTGTGGCCAGAGGATGGGAGTCAGGGTCACTCATGACCTTGGGGAGCACGGCAGAGCTGCCAGATAACATCAAAGACAAGTCCCAAAGACTGGAAGAAGGCACACAGCAGCAGGTACAGAAGGCAGCAGAGAAGGCCAATAACCGAGGGTACAGACTTTACTTTGGGGAGAAAGAAAAGCAACAGGAGACGGAACATGGGAGCAAGCAGGCAGGCAATCCCGTTCATTCTGTCAGAGGTGCCTGCCAGTCCCAGCACGGCACACGGGCTGTGCACCAAGGCTGTGCTTCTGAGACAGGACACTCACAGAGCGATCTTTGAGACAGAAGGCGTAAGACCCACAACAAATGATCCAATGACCACTGGGCACGAAAAGGCACAGCAAAGGGGTTTTGCTAGTAAAATTAGGTATCTCAATATGAGAATACATCATACACTTTTTTTCAAAAGCATAAAGACCCTGGAAGAAGCCTCACAAGACACGATATTTGCTGTTATTAAACTGTTCGAGGGCAGTCTGCCCCAGCAAACACACAAAAGAGAAGGTTGTGATAGACACTTTTATTTTTTAAATATTTTATTTATTTTTAGAAAGAGGGGAAAGGAGGGAGGGGGAGAGGGAAACATCTGATGTATGGCTGCCTCTGGCATGCCCCCCCCCCCCCCCCCCCAGAATTGAACCAGAAACCCTTCTGTCTACAGGCTGGCACTCAGTTGACTGAGCCACAGGAACCAGAGTTTATTTTTATTTTTTAAAAAGATTTTTAAATTGATTTTTAGAGAGAGGGGAAGGGAGGAGAAAGAGGGAGATGAAACATTGATGTGGGACAGAAACATCGATAGGTTGCCTTTTGCACCCCTCCAAATGGGGACCTGGCCTGAAACCCAGGCATGTGCCCTGACTGGGAATGGCACCCATGGCCTTCCATTCACAGGTCAGCGCTCGGTCCACTGAGACCTACCAGCCAGGGCAGGACGGACATTTTAAAATCCAGAGATATTTTAAAGTTTGCTTACAAATGCTGTTTCATTACCATTTGTTCTGAAGATTAAACCTTCTCACCTTAAACCCCACAAATGGCAAAACTCAACTTAAAGCGGAAGGGTTCTGCTTAGTCTCACTGTTACACCCATCAAGGAGCTGACATGTAGTTGTGGAGGTAAGTCTGAGACCCTTTCCCTAGCCCTGAGAAAGAGAATCAGCTCCTCGGGAGATATGGGGAATTTTCCACTAAGTCTAATTTCTTCCAACAGTTTATTTAGCAAGACAGATTGTTACAGCAGTGGTAAATCGAAGTTCTCACTTCCTGTTGCTTATGTCCTTATTGTTACTCAGTGTTTGTTAAAAAGTTACCTTTCCTATTACAAGGATAATACTGTGAAGTAAAACTATGGCTTGGGTAGCTTAATTCCAACATAGAATCACCCAAGAACTGCTCTAAATTTCATCTCTATCAACAACAATCCCATCAATTCTCCAGGACAGTAAAAGCTAGATATTCCAGTGGCTCACTAGAAGCTTTCTTTTTCTAAAAATACTTTTGAACAGTTCTACATAATAGTTTATCTAAGTACATGAAATTTGATCCCTGTATAGCTTCGAAAAGACTTGTTTCTCTAAATACGGCCCCACCTTGTGCATGTAAGAAATGGGAGCCACAGATTTGATGCTAGGGGACCACAGCAAATGCACCTGGAAACCACACCTTGGCAGTGATATAACACCCCGAATTTTTCGAACGCTGACAATACACAAAGCGTTTTACAGCCTCTAGGATGTGCTGAGTCCCCAGAGCAACCCTTAGGAGGCCAGTAGGACTGGTGCTCCCATTTCACAGTTGAGGAACCAAAGGCATTAAGTACAAAGGCAGTAAACAGAAGAGTCACGACGCAGAGGCAGGCAGTCTGGCTCCAGAAGCCACGCTCCTCTGCACTCTCCTTCAGCCTCTAGAGAAGACAGCTGACGAGACGACGTGCAGGCAGGGAGACTGGCCGGCGGCGTCTGCTCATTCACTGAACCAGCGTCTTCGGGTCACCTAGTCCACCAGGACGCTTTAGGGAATGAGTCTCCTTGCTTTACAGTCACACCTCCTATCAAATCTCCTTCCCCTTCCCCCAGCGAGGAGAAACACACCTTGCTCATTGTGAATGGGGAGCCGCCGACCGGGAACCACCTGCTGTTTGCAGAGGCACCCAGGACCTACCGGGTTCCATTCCCCTCACTGGCTTCAAAGACAAATCTCCTATTGTCTGCCCGGAGGGAGGAACACGAGCCCTGCAACTGTAGGTTTCTGCAGAGGTCACTAGAGGTTCGGTTAAACCACGCGACACTGAACGGTTGGGGGGGATGGGGCGCCGCATTTTCGCTGGTGAAGGCTGCGCAGCGCCCACAGCAGCTGTGGTGGGAGCCGCACTTTACACACCCACAGCCGCCGCGGCCTCGCAGCCGGCCGCACGTTTCAGATGAAAGACGTCCTGACCCCCAAGACCACCACCTGCCTCGCGCGCGGGCCTCGGCTCGGAACACCCTCGGCCCACACCGCAGCCGAAGGAATCCCACTCTGGAGGGCGGCCGGGAGGGAGGCGGGGCGCCTCAGCCCACCCTGCTGCAAAGGCCAGGTCCGCGGAGCTCGGCGGCCACGGCCAGCACCCGCGTGTCCGCCGAACCGGATAAAGCCCGGTTGCCCCGCACCCGCCCCGACGGCACCCCGGAAACCACGCCGACGCCCTGAGCTCAGGCCCTGCAGTGCACTGACGCCCACCCTCGGGCCGGGCACATTCACGCCCACTCGCGCCCACCTCCCACGCCTGTCCCGCGTGGCCCGAGACCCTTCTCCCGCGCACGCCCGCCTCCGCCCGGCCTCTCTCGCGCCCAGCCACGGTCCCAGCCGTCCCCTCAGTCGCCGCTGGCCGGGATCCTCGCGCAGTCGGGCGGGGGCCGCAGCGCCGGCCTCTCCGCCATCTTCCCGGCCCGCACCGCCCACCGCCCGCGCTCTCACCAGCCGGGTGCGCGAGAGCCGCGCCGCCACAGACCCTCATCCCGGCCCGCGCGCAGCAAGGGAGCTGCCGCGGCTCTCCCGTTGTCGCCACCACCCGGTCCGCGTCCTCAGTCGCCAACGCCGCCACCGGCCCAGTGAGCCGCGGCCGCGCGTCCTCCCGTCACCAGCGCAACCCCCCGCCTCCGGCCCCGCCCCCATGCGGACTCACGCCCGCCGCCAGGGGGCGCCGCCGCCGCCGCCACCGCCGCCGGTCCTGTGCGCGTGCGCTGGCGCGCGGCCAGGCGGGAGCCCGGGGCTCCGGCGGTCTGGACCCGCCCACAAGGCCCGAGCTGGTTGTGGTGGATAAGGTAGGGTAATGCTCCCGGGCCCACACCCGCTCCGGTGCCGCGGTCGGCAGGCTACCCTCTCCATTCTCTGCTGTCTCCTCTGAAAATTTCAGCGGCCGGAGCACTGAGCGGACCAGCAGCCGGCAGGATGAACGTCCAGGCGGCTATTGCTGCCTTTGCCTTCAGAGAACAACCAGGTGCCATCAGACCTGTGCCTCGGTCACGCGTGAACTTTCCAGACCTGGCCTTCATCACTCCCCTGGAGCCAAGCCTTTTCTTCCTCAGGGACTGCTTCTGTCCCAGAGCCGGCCCTCACCTTCCCCACCCTCTCTGCAGCCAGTGTGGATTCTTTCTAAACGAGTTCATCTCACTTATACCTCCCCCACTTTCAGGTATAAGCCGACTCCAGGACGGCTACACCTTGTTCTCCACTTGGCGCTGCTGCGAGGCCGGGGCGAGGGGCGAGGGGCGCGGAGCGCGGAAGAAGGGGTTTAGACTCCCGCTCCAGGACCCAGTCTCCTCTTTCTAGCTGGAAATCGGCCAATAAACCCTTTCTTCCAAAATGGCGTTCAGCCCTGGAAGAAAAATTTGTTTTACACCTGTAATTTGTTAGATAAAGTGGGCACTCTGTATCCTCCATGTCTATCATTTTGCTTTCTTGCTCTGTCATCTTAGCTCCTGGTAATTGCTCAGCCTGAAGCAATCGGTCTGAAACTCACGCAACAGAACACTGAAGCCCACACTGCTCGACCTGTGGCCACACCCTAGATCCTGTCATCACAAGAAACTGCAAAGAGCTAAAAGCTCAATTTCAAAAGCCCTGGGTTGCGTCCCCTATCCTGTCCTGCGGCTCACCTACCCCTTCCCTGTGGCCCAGCCTCTCACTTCTTGCATGCGTGTGGACAGGGGAGTCTCTGCTCTCCAGCCCACCCACTTGAGAAAACCCGACGGTGCTGATGGGGAGAGGGGGCGGGAAGGCAACCGCTGTCCATGCAGAAACATAACAGCCAGGCTGGCTGGCTTCACTTTAAAAGGTAAAAGGAGCACTTTGTGGCAATCTTGTGATTTTTCTCCAGGAGGATAAATCTAGCACTCCCCAAAGTGACCATCAGAATTTCTCATGCCTCTGTAGTTGGGCCTCCCAGCTGAGAGCAAAACTCAAAGTCCCAGCCACATCCACTCCATCCCTTCACCAATCCTCCTGAAAATGCATAGGCCATGCTTTCTGGCTCCTAAGGCAGTCCCTTAGGAGTGGAACCCATTCCCTCTACTGCTTTCAAAGATTGTGCTCGACCACCTCCTCTCCTGAATCATCTTTCCTGCCTGCACCACCGCTTACACCAGACACAAGTACAGGATGTGGGTCTTCCCAGGAGAACATCACTCTGGGGACCTCCAGGAGCTTAGAAGTGAAAATGGCTATAATTCACCCACGTGCTTCACAAACAAAACAAGCAAAAACGTTCTGTTATCAGTGCGCTACATTCATGGCACTGCCTTCAGCAGGCAAAGTGCTTTCATGAGTTCTTTCTTCCTTCTCCTTTTCCTCCCTCACTTCTTCCTATCTGTGTCACATGCTGGTGATAAAACAGTGCCTAAGAAAAATCTCTGACAGCAGAGAGCTCCAGTTGTAATGTATGAGTACTCAGTAGAAAGGGAACTAAAGCATGAGCTGTGAGATAGTATGGCTGTGAAGCTTGTGCTGTGAGACACAAGGGTAGGAGACTCACTTTTTCTGAAGGGTGTACATTCTGTGAAGCAAGGATTTTTATCCCCATCCGAGAGATGAGGAAAAAAGCCACAGAGTAAGGCCAACGCAGAACAAAAGACGAGGCCTACAGACCCTTCCACACAGACCACTCTGGGACTGGCTGAGCTCACACTTAAAGGATTAAGAATCTTAATACTGATTGGAGGCAGAACATGAGCCGGGCAAGTAAGTCAAGCAAATCCTAGGACAAATGTTAAACCAAATGTAGACGTGATCCCAAATTCCTTAAGACACAGGAAGGGTGAGAGCAGAAACTGAAAAAGTAACTTGAAAGGGTCATATTTGAGTTGACCTGGAGGGAATGAAGAGTGGATTTGACAAAAGATTCCACGCTCTGGCTGGTGTGGCTTGGCTGACTGGAACGTCATCCCAGGTGCCAAAAGGCTGTGGGTTTGATCCTCAGTCAGGGTGCATATGGGAAGGAAGGGATCCGTGTTTCTCTCTTACATCGATATTTCTCTTTCTACCTCTGTCACTTCCTCTCTGAAATCAATAAACATTTAAAAATGAAAAAGATTCCCCCAGGTCGAGTCTCATAACTGAGTCAGGATGGCAGCGCACTCACACCGTGGTGGTGAACTGGTCCAGTGTTCTGCAAACTTCCCAGTAAAACTCTTTAAATGTAAGCTCATGGCTCAAATAACAATGAACAGGGAAATTAAGGTTAGAATAACAGATACCATGACATCCCAACCAAGATGGTTAGAATAAAATTAGTGAGGATTTTGTTTTTATTTTTTTAAAAGATTTTATTTGTTTACTTTTAGAGAGAGGGGAAGGAGAAGAAAGAGAAACATCAATGTGTGGTTGCCTCTCGCATGCCTCCCACCAGGGACCCAGCCCACAACCTAGGCCTGTGCCCTGACTGGGAATCAAACCAGTGACCCTTTGGTTCACAGCCTGTGCTCAATCCACTGAGCTACACCAGCCAGGGATTGGTGGGGATTTTAATAAACTAAAGTCATATGTTGCAGGTGGAGATATTAAAAAGTCTTGCAGTTCCTTAAAAAGTTATACATAGCTTACTACGAAGCCCCACATCCCACTCCTGTGACCCAGGAGAATGGAGAAATTGTGTCCACAAAACAGCCTGTCTTAAAAGTAGCTTTATTCATACTTGCCCCAGATGGAGCAACCCAAATACCCTTCAGTGGGGAACAGATAAACAAACTGCCACATCCGTACAACGGATGCCACTGTACAGTTAAAAAAGGGGGAACTATAGGCACACGCAATATCACGATGAATCTCCAGTATTTTAAATGAGATGCCAGCTTCAAAAGGCAACCGATTCTGAAAACATGAAACGTCTGTGAATTGTCCAATGAAGAACAAGGTTTGTGCCACGGCTGAAGGCCCGGCTATGTCCATCACACACAGGGTGTTTCTCTCCAGAGTGCATCTGCCTGTGTGACCTAAGGCTGGAGCCAGGAACAAAGGCCGGACCGCACTTTCTGTATGCACGGGGGATCCCAGTATGGACCCTCTGATGTTGAGTGAGGGTTGACCTCCGGCTGAAGGCTTTCCCACAATCACCACATTCATAGGGTTTCTCTCCAGTATGAACTCTTCGGTGTAGGGCAAGTTGTGAGCTCTGACTGAAGGCTTTTCCACATTCCATGCACTGATAGGGTTTCTCCCCAGTGTGAACTCTTCGATGCTGAACAAGAGTTGAACTCCGGCTAAATGCTTTACCGCACTCATTACAAGTATAGGGTTTCTCTCCTGTGTGGATCCTTACGTGCTCAGTGAGGTGAGAATTAAAACCAAAGGCTTTGCCACACTCATTACAAACATAGGGCTTCTCTCCAGTGTGCACCCTGTGATGGAGAAAAAGGCTTGAGCTCTGACTGAAGGCCTTCCCGCACTGGTCACACACATGGGGCTTCTCTCCAGTGTGGATCCTCTCATGCTGAATAAGGCTTGAACTTCGACTGAAGGCCTTCCCACACTGATCGCATTCGTACGGTCTCTCGCCAGTGTGGATTCTCTGATGCTGTGTTAACTGTGGGCTCTGGCTGAAGCCTTTCCCACATTCATTACACTTATATGGTTTCTCTCCTGTGTGAATGACACGATGCTGAATAAGAGTTGAGCTTCGACTGAAGGCCTTTCCACATTCACTACATCTGAAAGGTTTTTCTCCAGTGTGAAGTCTCCGATGGAGAACCAGGTGGGAATTGAGACGAAAAGTCTTCCCACAGTCATTACATTTAAATGGTTTGCTTCCAGTATGAACTTGATGGTGCAGAATAAGGCCCGAGCTGAGAGCAAAGCCTCTCCCACACTGAATGCATTTATACGGTTTTTCCCCACTGTGACTTCTCTGATGTCTACGTAGGTCTGAATTGTATCTGAAGGTTTTGCTGCATGTATCGCATGTAAAGGCTTTCAATCCTGTTTTATTTCTTGGGAGTCTAACAGCATTTTGGTTCATAGTCAAGTTTCCATCAAATGCACCACAATCCCGGACGGTTTCTCCTGGAGATCTTTCCCTGCATGTGGCAGTTTCATTCCAAAAAATTCTGTTGTGAAGATGGAGTTTCTTCAAACTCTGTTCAGAATCCCCCAGGTGTCCTACTTTACCCTCATGGTCCCAAGCTTCCTGTAACTCAGGTGCCTGTGGATTACACCCTGAAAATCTTCTTGACATCAATTCTGAGGTTTTTACTTCGTCAGAGCATTTCTGGTTTAGAATAGGTAGTTTCTTCTCGGTCCCAATCTCGAAATCTGTTACATAAAAACAAAAAGGCATTATTGGAGAAAACCATCCGTTACAGATAATATCCATAATGTCTCAAAAGCCCCCATAAAGTGTTATGTAAAAGGTAAATATAGGAGACTTCCGGCAAGATGGAGGCATAGGTGGATGTGCCGTGCCTTCTCACACAACCAAGATTAGAGAAAACTAAATATTAGCAACAGAAAACACAGCCAGAACACAGAAAATTGAACTTTTCGGAAGTCCGTTAACAACAAATTCTTCAGCCTGACCGGTAAGGGGCGAAACCAGCGGCTGGCGGAGCAGGGTTGCACAGGAAAACTCGGTCAGACGGGCTCAGGTGCGGAATCCAGGCGCAGGGTTGGACCCAGTGAGCAACCGCGCGAGCAACCAGGCGAGCGACCTCGGGGGAGACAGCCGGGCCGGGGCTGCGTGTTGACTGAGGTCGCGCATTTGTGCGCGGGTGGACAGGCGAGGGAGTGGGCGATTGGACCGGGCGGGCAGGTCCCCACGGCAAGCGGCAGTGGAGGGCGCCGCCATTTCCCTGCTCTGACCCCACCTCCACATACAGCGTCATAACCCAGTGACTCTGAGCGGCCCGGCCCAGGTGAACCACCTAAGGCACTGCTCCTCCGCACCCAGCTGTGAGAAGCGGCAGAGGGGGTCGCCATTTCCCTGCTCGGGCCACGCCCCCACATACAGCGTCACAACCCAGCGACCTGGGAATCCAAGGCACCACTTCTTAAAGGGCCCGAACAGACCAAGAATGGCGCAGGAGGATCTCAGAGCCCCAGAAATAAATCTAAGCGATGAAGAAATAGCAAATCTCACAGACACACAGTTTAAAACATTGGTTATCAAGATCCTCACAGAACTGGTTGATTATACGGACAAATTAGACAAATATATGAAGGCGAAACTAATTGAAATGAATGGAATTGCACAGGACACCAATAGCAATGAAAAGGAAACTGGGACTCAAATCAATGGAGTGGACCAGAAGAAAGCAAATAATGGCCAAACAGAAAAGAGTCAAGAAGCAAGGATTCAAAGAAATGAGGAGAGTCTTAGGAACCTCCAGGACATCTTTAAACGCTCCAACATCCGAATTATAGGGGTACCAGAAGGGGGAAAGGCAC